AGGCGCACCAGGAATACCGGCGTGGAGTCCTAAAGGATCAGGATAAACACCACCAGGCACTCCAGCCAATCCAGGGGCACCATGTACACCACGATAACCCTGATGTTGGTTAGCCATCACACTTCCACAGAAGCAGTACAGGGTGAAAGGCAGTTAGCACAGCAGGTGGCCCATCATCATCTTCATAGCCATAATAGTGGTTGTTGGGTTTCGCTTGAAAATACTCTACTAAAAAGAAAAAAACAATATGAGAGATTAACAAAATGCTCATAATACCAAAAAACAGAAGGGTGTACAAGTAGAGAAGCACAAAAGAACCTCAACAGTGTAGAAAAAAAAATCAGAAACACGGCAATACAGAGAATTAAAATCAGTAAAGGTAGAAGCAAAGGACATCAATATCATCACAGACTCCCGCAGTACAGCAAAGAATGCCCAAGCAAACCACAAGCAAACAAAAGATATTACCTATTAGCCCAACGTACCCAATAAACACAGAAATACAACAACTATGGGTGTAAATCTATATATGTGTATACAAACGCAATTATAAATATAAATTCATCTATTATTATTATTTCTCCTTTTCCTTACTGCAAAAACAGTTCATCATCATTATCATAATGCAAGCCCAGGTGCACACACAGAGAGTCTCCAAGAACACACACACACAAAATGGAATAGCAATAATAATAATTATAGGATAAACACACAGAGAGAGTAAAAACACACAAAACACATTAACATTAAGAAACATAAAAAGAAGAATATAACTCCAACAGGTGGAAGATTAGTTAGACTGTAGGGATGTATGCAAAAAAAGAAAAGAAAACAAAGGATGACCTGAGTCACACCACCATCACCATTACAATCAGTACACAAGAATACAGGCCAGTGTAACCACAATCAGTAGTGGTACACGCACCCACACAGAACTGCGGATACTGCTGCTGCTGTCGGCATCACCCTTCTTGTTGTTTGTGAGTTCAGGAGGAAGTGTTGTTGTGGTGGTGGTGGTGGTAGTGGTTGCATCTGTATTTTCTGTATTTCCTACATCACCTGTTATTCCTGTAGACGTACTTCCCTCTGCAGATGTACCACCGTTCTCTGTCAGTGTAGTTTCAGAACCACCGTCACTCCCGCTGTCTGAATTTTTAGGAGAAGTCTTTGTTGCTCCACTTTCACTTAGAACACTGTCTCCATTGTGACTATCACCTGTAGGCGCAGTCTCACTTCCCTCAGCGAGTGCAGGAGCAGCAGATGTAGTAGAAGAAGGAGCAACAGCATTATTAGGAGGTTCAGAAGAAGAAGAAACAACACCCGATACAGCCTCACCATCCGCAGATTCTCCTTGTTCACCAGAAGCACCAATTGGATCTGGTGTACCACGTACCAGATGTTCGTCTCCAGGATTAGGTGTAGTTCGACCAGGTTCCTGTAGTGAGTGTGTACAATGTGTATCACTAGATCCACCACGGCAACTGTCTTCCTTCTTGGGTTCCTTAGTATTGCAAGTTTCCGACTCAGTAGACGTCTCACAATCGGGACGAGCAGCTTCATCTTCACTACCGCTAGTAGAGCACTGAGGAATAGTGTCATCTGATGTACAAGGTTTACCACCAGGTTGTTGGGGAAGAGGAGGAGGAGGAGGAGGAGGTGGTGGTGGTAGAATAGCAGGTGGAGAAGGAGTACGCGAACAGTTTTCACCATCAGCAGAAGGACTGTAACCTTCAGGGCACTTACCACCAGTAGGAAGAGGAACAGACTCAGAACTCGCCTCAGCTGTCACACACAAAGAGACAACACCCAACACCAAAGCAAGAAAACACAACACACGAGACATCATCACGACAGCAAGATTTAGTTTGTAGTTATAGGCCACTTGAATGCAGAAGAAAGAAGAAGAGAAAAATATAATTAATAGAAACACTCAATACATTAGAAACACACACAGAGAGAAACAAAGGAGAGCACAACACACAATCAGTCACACAAAACAACATGAGGAGCAAACGAAAAAAAAACTAGTAACACCGAAAAAATAATACTCCAACATCACTTATAGTCCAATTAAAGACCAAACCCACAGTATACAGGATGAAAAAAAAAATCCCATATTTCCCACAAAAAAAGAAAAAAACATAAATCAAAAATACGAAACGATGATGAAGAAAACAAATAAATATATAACAGTGTCTTCGCCTGTCAGTATATATACAATTACAAATAAATAGGTGTATATATATTTTATGACTTTTCCTTTACACAAACCAGAGAGACCAAACAATGCAGCACAAAACACAGCGCACACAAGAAAACACCAATAGTAAAAGAAAACATATTAATAATAAGGCCATATTAACCAACTAAAGGAAAGAAATACACTAATTGTGAGTATAAATAGCTGTATACCCTATTACGCATGTATATATATATAGTTTATTATTTCATTTTCTCATTCCAAAAAGCAGACTATCCCATTATACTGGGTAAAGCATAAAGTAGCCCAAAACACACAAACAATAGAAAGATATATATAGAACAAAGATAATAAAACAAAACAATAACATTAAGAAACAAAAAAAGAAGAGATAATCCCAACAAGTGGAAGATTAGTTAGACTGTAGTGTGGATGCATGCACAAAAAAAGAAGAAAACAAAGGATGACCTGAGTCACACTACCACCACCATTACAATCAGCAAACAAGAATACAGGCCAGTGTAACCACAATCAGTAGTGGTACACGCATCCACACAGAACTGCTGATACTGCTGCTGCTGTCTGCATCACCCTTCTTGTTGTTTGCAGGTTCAGGAGGAAGTGTTGTGGTGGTGGTGGTTGTTTCTGTATTTCCCACATCACCTTCTTGGGTACTTGTTGATTCACTTCTTTCAGATGTACTTCCTTTTTCAGTCGTTGCACCATTAGAACCACTGTTACTCTCTGTGGCTGAATTTCCGGGAGAAGAAGAAGAAGTTTGTGCAGCTTCACCTGCAGAGGCAGTACTGATCCCACCAGCAGGTGTAGAAGATGTAGTGGGAGGAGCAGCAGGTCCATTAGAAAGGCCATCTGAATGTTCACCACCATCATCTGCATGACCTTGTGCACCGTGAGGAGTAGTGCGGTCCTGTGTAATCCGACCAGAGTCCATTGCAATAGTTTGAGCATGATCACCAGTAGCTTCACCATCAATAGAAGTCTTGTGATCACCAGGACCAGTAGAAGAACCAGGAGGTGGTGGTGGGTAAGGAGGAGGAGGAGGAGGAGGAGAAGAACAAATTATATCATCCAAAGGAGTGGAACCATCAAAGCAAGGAACATCAGGAGCAAGATCGAGACTAACACGACTATTCTCTTTCTTTTTATCGTCCTTTTCATCATCTTTACCAACATCTCCAGAAGCAGTAATGGCACGACGAACAAGAGAAGGAACACCAACAGTAGAAGTTTTAATAAGGACATTAGAAGCTTTAGGACTATCAGCACATACTAACCCACAAGCACAACACAGTGCAAGAATTAATAAACAGAGCAGGTAACACCTCACCATTACAGCCTTCGCCATTGTTGTGTTTTACTACAATAGACTAATACAAATAAAAATAAGGAAGAGCAGCAATAAATTAAAATAGAAACAAACAAACATACACCAGTACAACAAATTCTAACAGTGGGATAGAGAGAAAGAGAAGCATCAACTGTACAGTTAAGCAAAAAAAAAGGAATATCCCCCTTGCAATGATATTAATATGTATTCCTTTACAGAAAAAAAAAGAACACTACAGAATACCCAAATAACAGAGAGAGCCAAACACACAATATCCCATGGCTCTAGTTTATGTATTAAATTACTGGACACACAGATCTGTGTGTACTAGCAAGAGATGTATACCGTCAGTGAGCAGAACAGCCCAGTTTTCTGCAAACACACACAACGGGAAAAGCAAGTAATGGAATTAAAACAGCCAACACATAAAAGTAAAAGAAAAGATTTTCTAATTAAAAGAGAAAGCTAGTAAACAGATTATTAGTTTATTCACCCATGAGGGATGTACGCAATTATAATTATATTAGTTTAACCATT